GTCTAATGGTGCCTCCAAAAGCCCATGACCCCCAAACAAGTTGGTCTCTAATGGTGCCACCCTACCCTGCCTTGCTTTCTGCCTACCTTCAGACTCATACAGCTAACCACCTCTCTGAGGAGAATAATCGATTGATGACCAGTTAACCAGCTGCTGGCTGCCGAGCTCACTCCTTTGTAAGCAAATCAAATGACTAGGAGACTGTTCACACAATGTAGACAGACATTGCTAGTATAAAAACAGTGGTGCTCAACTGCTGCTCCCCACAAATGCAGATAGTTGGCAGGAGAGCAATGGCAATTAACTCTGCCAAGCAGCCAAGACGTTGGGTCCAATCCAGCATGCACAGGGCCAGGGTGGCAGGCCCAAACTGGTGCATATGGGGCTAGAGCCGAGGCAGTGAGCCCAAGCAGTGGGGCTGAGGCCCAGTGGCAAACCTGATCTCGCATGTAGTGTAGACCAAGGCTAGATTGCACTTGCACATCTACTCTGTGCCGAATGTGGCCTGTGGACTGACCATGCACCACTTGTCTGGCCCACGTAAACTAGGCACTCCTGGTATGAACACAATTCAGCACCTTAAGAGGAAAGCAAGCTGAGTACAAGGAAATAGAGTTTACATTTCTCACCAAACTTCTTCCAGTGGTTTCCTTCTGGGATCTCAGAACAGAGTGGAGGATCTTTAATCTGTCTGCATCTGTGAGTACAGGACATGAAGGTTTAGCTTCCATAGAAAAAGGCTAGAAGTTTCAAGGAATCTCCCTGCCTTCTGAAGCTCTGGGGACCAGTCTAAATTAGTTCTTCAGGGTTCTGTGGAAAATATCAACAGCCTTGCCTTGGTAAGTATCTAGCCACTGTCTGGAGCATCCTAGTATGGGTGGTACCTATATAATTAGTCTATAAACGTGCCAAACTACCATACTTTCTGCCTATAATTAACACAATTATGCCCATCAAGATTAGGGGGTTAGATAGGTTTCTGGAAGGCCTTTCCATATCTGTGCAATTACAATATAAAAATAACAAATGAAAAAGTTACATAATTAATTAAACATTATCAATCTAATTAATTTTAACAATTGCAGCAAATTTTACTTATATTCAGTATTGATTCTCTAAAACTGTTAGTCTATTCAGCATCTGGGAAGTGACATCATCTTCAGGTCTCAAACTATACAGAGTCCTAAGCAGTGCTGTGCTAGGCTACATTTTCAGACAAGCTCACATTTGGGCATATAAGCACACACAAAAGAAAGTGCCATATGGCATATTTGCTTTATTGGTAACAAGTGGCAAGATATTATAAGGTTAGCTTTATTAATTTATTTATTACATATTATATTTGCAAATTCAAAACAGAATTAACACTTGAAAAAACAAGTCAAACTTAAATATATTAAAATCAGCAATAAAAAAACCCAGTCATTTTGTAAAAATGAGACTCCCAATGGCTAGCATTCAATGTGTTAAAGCTCCAACCATAAACATAAGGACAGATGTAATAATTGCAAATCAACTGTGTTGTATAGAACAAACAATTTACACCAAAACCATTCAAATACTGACAAAAATAAATAAATAAATGGGTATTTTGGCTTATAGATGCATACACAAGCTCACACAAAGGACTGGCATTTGAAAAAGGATGAGTATTCAAATTTCACTGAAGAGCAGAGGCATTTCTGGTAGGCTGAGAACTTCAGAGCTCAGGCCCAAGCCGCCCTCCACTGCCGCCAAAAACCTCCAGCACTAATACAGCATAGGGCATAGTATTCTATAGCTACCTGTGTTTAAAATTGAATGAAACTTCAGATAGCCTTGTCACCAATCAAGTCTGTTATTTACAGGGGATAAAATAATATCCTTTTTATTATGATGTTTCTAATTAAGACATTCCCATTTAAAAGGAAATCCAAATAGCCCAGTCCCAGAATAGTGCTATTTCGGCTGGATCCAAATGTGCAGGCATGTGTAGTTTGTGGCACCACAAACCTCTTTGCAGTGCCACAAACTGCACTCACACCATGTTAAAAAGTGTGCAGCGTGGGGCACATTTTAAGTTAAAAAAATAGCGCAGAAAAAAAAAAAATCAGTGTGGTGCACACCCAGATATGGAGGCTCAGTTCTCCTGAGATACACTTTAGCTAGTAGCCAGAGCATCTTCACTGCTTTAGTTGTCCCCTGACTCCTTCAGTACAGTGGGCGCTGGGAGGAACGGGGCAATTTGCATCCTTAGTGTTTTACCATTCTTGTGGGACATCTGCATGTTCTTTAAAACAAGTACAAAACAAAAAAAAAAAAGCTATTTTTTCCCCTTAAAATATTTACAAGTAATCCCTTATACTGCTCACTGTAAAGTCATGAGAGCCAAGTGACTACTGATTTACTAAACACGGCTTTGATTTCTGAACTCCTATTTTGTTAGGAACAGGATAAACTGAGTCAATGTGTACTAGTGTACAATGTGTACAGCCTTACTAGTGTACTCAAAAGGTAGCACAGGCTAAGCTATATTTGAACTCGATATGACATTATATTTAAGTTAAGATATGTACCCCAAGACTAATAAAAAAAGTGTGCCTTATATCATTCCCCTTTTATTTACCCTGGCAAGCAATTCTTTTACTACCTAGGCAGGTAAAATTCACTCATTTATATTAAGCACTTGAGGTAGATTTAATTTTGGTGTTTGATTGAAAGTTCTTACCTATTTAATTTTACAACTTAGTAATACAATTAAACTATCAGAATAGCCCATTTTGTTGTAATACACCCTTTTAGGCAAAAAAATTAATCATGCTACAAAAACGAGTTTGTATTCTTTATACAATAATACATAGCACTGTGACGGATAACTATCATTTCTAGATTGTGTGGCACCAAGTCTACTTTATATTGGTTTATACTTTGTAGACTGGTTCCAAAAGATGTCAGCATACATCACAATAGGCATTACTCATTGGTTTTTAAGCTATGGGGACACATACCCTTCTGGTGGCCTGCTATGAAATAACTATTGCTTTCGGACATGATGTCCTACTACCCCAGAATCACAACACTGAACTAGAAGCACATTCTACTAAGTGAAACACCCTAGTTCTAACACTGGATCAGTTCCTAGAATTTATCTAATAGTCTGTACTCTGTTCTCGTCACAGGCTGTAGATCAATCAGATTCAGTGAAGATGTAGGTTCAGTATCGGAGCACCATGGAGAGCTCCCAACACATGATTCAAAATAAATCTTTAAAGCTGAACTCTTCAAAGCCACCAACGAAGTTTAATGGGACTACAAATCCCATTGAGAACCTATAAAAGTTTAGCCTGTAAGATCAAATTTCCAAAAACTGCGAGCAGAAATGAAGGAGTAAAAGGAAAGCATTAATGGAGCGGCAGAGCAATGACTGAAAGCCAGATCCTCGAAAAAAGTATTTAAGCACCAAACTTTTATTTAGGGTGTAATTTCCCATTGATTTCAATACTCCTACTTAGCAGAATAACTTCAAACATAGTAATATATGGAATGGTAATAGGTAGGAAGCAAAATTAGGCTTTTTCCCCTTAAAAAGCAGTCCCTTATTTTGTATATTGTAAATCTAGGAAGACAGTATCTCAATGTGCTGAGTGACTGTTGATTTACTAAGCAACATTCTCACCATTTCTTAACTAACATTATTGAAGAGTATGATAAACAATCTAAATCTGCTCTCACTGATTTTGATATGAAGTTAAGCACTTAAATACCTTTGAACATCTGGACCAAAATCTCTTGTCTGTTTTTTGGGACATAAATTTTCTTTACTTGGTTCTAGTACAAAGAGCTGGCGGCCTAAACTATAAAAAGAAAGCGCCCAAGGCCGTCACAGGAGGGAAGTTCTTGTGGTAGTACGTTTATGCAGAAACCCATAATTAACCTTCTCTTCAGCATTGGTTCTTTATGAAGGAACCCATCCTCAGCTAATGGCAGAATGAAAGAACCTTTGCAAGCGACTCCTAGTAGAACAGTATGGTAGATAGTAAAAGGTCATAACACCATATGGTTGTTGCATTACTTCTAATTACACCAACAGTTATTTACATTTTAAATTAGGCAGCGATAATGAATGTATTTAGTAGTTTGGAGGTTCATAGTTCTCTAGTAGCATTTGGCCCATTTTTATTGGGAATTATTAATTAGTGTTATCAATACAATTTTGGACATTATGGGCATGTCCAGATGTTCATGAATGTTTGGTTCACCAGGGACAACTAGCAGTGGTGCACCTTGCACTGCAGCTACTTGTTCCTGGGGAACGCCCGTGCCACATGCAGTTTGGCACACAGCAAGTTACCCTGGGGTCAGTAAGGGAGGTGGAGGCCAGCACTGGGGTCCTGGGGCTTCCCAGGGCTGCAGCTAGAGATTCTGCTGCGTGGAGCCTGGCTGGCAGCAGCAGTGCAGCTCTAGGTGGTTCAGCTCTGCTTTTCCATGGAAAAAAAACCCAGAGCAGCCCCCACACAGGCAGTGTGCTCTTGCAGTGTGGAGAACACTAGACTGTGCAGTATGTGGCACTTCAAACGTGTTTGAGGTGCCATGTACCACACAACTGCACTTGCCTGGATGCACCCTATGGGTCCTTTTTGAAAACATTATAACCATATAAAGATGCTTGGGAAGATACAGATTCTCCAAATACTCATTAAGCTCCCTCCATCAGTGCTTACTTTTAATTTCTCTCCCTCCCTCCCCTCCCCGTTCTGATAACTAAATTCTTTATTATGTGTTTTATACTCAGTTTAACAGCATCTGCAAATGTGTATAAAAACCACTCCATCTTTGTTTGCTAAAACATTTGGATGGAAAAGCAGAAGTCTGTGCTGATAAAATGTGCAGTGCAGTCTTCTGTAGACAAAAGCAGAAACTGAAAAATTTGCCATTAGATAAATAATAATGTTGATACAACTGAATAGGCAGTAAGGCTCCGATAGCTTTACTCTGAAGTAACAAACAGGATAATCAGATTATAAATTCATATTTCATGTCTTTATTGCTGAAGATTCAAACACATACACAATATATATCAAATGTCACATTACGCGAATTTAGATTAAATTTGCTTAGGTGTGATGCCAAATTAAACTTTAGAATCTCTTTTAAAAACATGCATCAGTTCAAGCTTAAACACATTTTGTTTTTATGTACTGTTTCTGGTGATGTGGTTATAAAAACAAACTAAATAATGTATTACTCAAGGGTAATTTTCTCACAAAAATGGCTAAGCCCTGTGTCTCACAACCTCCAAAAAGCTGTAGACCATAAATCCATGTACTGTATGCATAAGACTGAAAACCTGACATGTGTTTCAGAAAGACAAACTTTATGTATTTTACATAATTTCAACAAGTCCTTCAGCACATTTGCTGTTTATAATAACATCTTCAGAAGCTCGTTTCCTTACTGTGCTTTTTCCTTTGTATTGTGTGGCCACATTATTATTTGTTTTGCGGGTTTGTTCAAGACTGCTTAGCTGAGGTAATTTGATTATTTTAAAACCCCCAAATGGTAACATTTTTGCCAATAAGTCCAAGCATGAAAACTCAATAGGTCACATGTTGAAGGTGTCAACCTTTAGTGTCCCTTTAACTAACTAACCCATATAGGGTTTGTTCCTCCATCTTTTAACAATCAGAACTCCCAGGGAATCAGTGAGGGTGAAATTCACCCAAGAAGGGAGGCTCCAGGGATTCATTAATATGAGCCTGCTGCAGATTCTCCTTCTCCCCTGAGGCTTGCATGTACAAGTGACGCAGGACTGTGATTTCTATATGTAAATATGGAACTGTTAAAATTAAAGTTCTACCTAGCTTGGTTTCTAGAGCTCAAACTTAGCTAAGGTCCATCAAGTCTAGCTATTATAGAACATTTCCTTTCCTAGTTACCCACTTTAACACACTAAGTATTGACAGCATAATGGCAATTTCATGGATTTAAAATAAGATAACATCACACTGTGTAAAGGGGCAATTTTGAGGAGTGCTTAATTTCTAAGCAAAGTTACAAAGCAATTCTGCACCACAGAAATTGTCAATTCTAAAACAACAATAGTTTAGGGCCTGTGACAAGCCAGCCTCAAGTTAACTTGTGAGTATCCACTGAAGTCAGAGAAGGGTATCCACAAAATAGATACCAAAGCTTTTGTTGGCCCCATTATTTGTATTTTCAAAAAACTGTCGATACTATCCTAAGATTACATTACATATTACAATGCAATCAGCTACAAAATGCCACCTTAACATAAATCATACATACACTTATTATATTAGTGGTGGTAGCGAGTTAAGAGTAAACATTTTTGACAAAACAGCACAATTCAGGAAAGGCACAACTAGCTTCTTTCAGACTGCATTTCCATGGATGACCAAAACCAATAAATCCTTCAAAACAAACTTCACAGACTAAGTAACCCAGCTTCTGACTAGTTATTTAAAAATTAGATTACAAAATTTAAACAGCCAAAGAAGGTCTGATCATGCTTCCCCTTTGAAGTCAATGTGAGGTTTGCTATTGACTACGTCTGCCGTACTAAGCCCAAGATTACAAAATCATTTACAAATGTCGTTCACATACTATCACATGAAGCATTACTGCTCCATATTACACCTACTTGCATGGGAATAAGAATAAAGTGATGACAACTTCTATCAAACCATACAGTACCAATATATAATTACAAATATTTCTTCTGGATCACATTAAATTAGGAGGGCTATTTTAAAAAATGACATACAATTTATTTTCCATCACAAGCTGTGATCATCCACTGAAGCCACTAACAAGTTCTCATAGCAAAAATTTAAATTTGGAGTATGTAAAGATTTTGCCTTTCCCTAGAAGAAAAAGGATGGAAGTAAAAAAGGGCAGTACCTTGTAGCAGAACCTGTAGAAGGGAAGGAGGGCGTTGCTTCATAAAGTAATTTGGGCAGTTGTGGTAAAGAAGAGTTAGTTTGGAAAAACTGCATTCTTTTTTTAAATTTGTGGTCCTATACTGATAAAATGCCTGTATAACAAAAGAAGTCTCTACTGGTTCTTGTTAAAAGAAGGGAGTGTGGAAAGATGTATGGCAAAATGCAGTTAATATACATAAAGAATAAAAAACGTTCACACAGCTATTTATTTCATTTGCTTTAACATCTATTTTTTGAAGTAAACCAAGAAAATAATCATGAAGGCCAATTAGGATAGTATTTTAAAGACATATAATTATTGTATTTTCAATTTATAAGGAGGCACCCCTGTAATTCTCATATAGCCTAACCATGATAACTCCTAAGTCAGTGTCCCAAATGTACACTGATTTCTTCTTAGAGGAATTTTTAGCCCAATTGTTTATGGCTAGTTCTCTGTGGATGATTATCTTCTCAGATGGATGACTTAAAAATATTTTACCTATTATGGTTATACAAAACAAAATAATCAACCCATTTCAACTGGCAAGTGACTTAACACATTTCTGCTTCAACTATTTTCCACCCAAAATTAAAGTGTATTTCCTTGAATGGCACAGTTTTAGGTACCTGTTTTTGTATGCAGTATACATATTGTATATATAAATTACTATGCAACTAAAAGGATTGCAATCAGCAAAGTTACAACATGGTGTTTCAAGTATGTTTGCAGCATGAAATCTAACTGGAAGTTCTCTAGCTTTCCAATGCAGCAAAAAGCAACAGAGATTCTGGTCTTCTTTTCCATTTTGCTTTTAATAATATATTCATAAGACCATTCTTCGAATTCCACATTCACAGCAAAACTTTGCCCAATCCACAGGGTACCTGGTTCCACATTCATGGCAGAATTTTGATAACTGCACAGGTGAATTTCCCTCGCTGCTTTTTGAACTTCCTCCATTGACTGAGGATGAGCAGTCTCCACTGTCATAGCCAAGTTTACCATCAGACCTGTTCCCAGATAAAGAATGTTAATATTTATAGCTCAATTCAATTCAAGCCAGTACAAGTATCCATGCAAAAAATTGCTAAAGCTATTACCAAGGGATTTTTTAAATTAATGTTGTAAAAAGGATAAATCTTCCATGTATCTGAACGTCCCTGCTGAAATATTCCTTACTTTCCAATAAAAATATCATTAAAGAAAAATAGCATAAGAAACAGATGCAACATCTGAGTCACTAACTGATCTAAAATGTTTTAACACTGGCCTAGTAATTACTTTATAAAAATGTAGCCCTTACTTAAAAGGTCAAAATGAGCATTATAGCAGAGAAGAGGGGATGCAGGCGGGGAGTGCGTGCGTGCGTGGGGGGTGGGGATCGTTGGTTTTTCAGGGGGGGTTTTTTAAAGACAGACTAGCTTCTGGTGCAATTTCCACACATGCTAAGCATCACAGTTCCAGCTAACTGCAAAGGAAGTGCCTGGTGTTCATAACATAAGGAGATCAGGGCTGTGGTATTTTCTCTGGGTCCTGTTGAGTTGCAACTACAAACTTCTTATTTTCTCAGTTTCTATATGCAATGATGAACTTAAAGTTCTGTATTTTTAGGTTGGAAGTCATTGGATTTCCTTAACACTTCCAACTAATACACGGTGTTCCATTATCTTAGAGAGCTATAATTTGAAAACTATATAAAGCTAGGGCCCAAAAATACGCCAAGCCCACAATCAAAGCATACTAAAAATGTTAAACCCACAGACTTGAATTAAGAGACTACCACTGTTTGCGAATACTCCTTCCCAACAAAAGTCAAGTACTTCCTTAAACTCATGCCCGTTACTAACAAGAGTTCAAAAAAGTTAAAAACTACCTGCTTGAGTAATTTTCCGCATTGTAAGTTTTTCTTTTGTTTGCTACAGCAGCTGTGCCTGCACTTCTCGCCAAACTGGGAGGTGTTGATGTTCGAGTTTTTACTGTACTTCTAGAATAGATATTCAGTAAAATTAATTGTTACATTAATAAATACAAGGTTTAACAAAAAAACCAGAAAACAAAACTACATAGCCATGACATTGCAGCAATTTGCAAGAACAGCAGCAGCTCATAGGTCTTCATCAGTGACAGAGTACAGAGACCCAAAACTGATTAGCAAGGACCACTGAATGTCAGGATTCAAGTCAGTGGATAATTTTAAAACCCCATGGTCTAATGCCTTACATCATATCCATGTATCATGCTGGAATAAAGGTAGGGCACTTACCATTGGTTTCTCATGCTACAGAATGTTTCTACCTCCTTACTGACAGCAAGTGATTTTTACAGTAGGATTGACAGAAGTATTTTGAAGGATGGTGGTCTTGCACCCCTCCCCTTCACAGCTACTGTCAAGCTCTTGGGAGCTGTTCTAATTAAAGTGCTTGCAGCATCCCGTGCTTCAAAATGGTGGTAGGGGCACTTCAACTAAAGATTGTTGAACTATCTTTAGTTAAAGCGCCCCCACCACCATTTTGAAGCATGAGGACACAGAATACATGAGACACAAAGGCTGCTGGAGTGTGCTACTTAGCATGCTCCAGTAGACATTAGCACACATCAGAGCAGGCGTTGGGCATGTGTGTAAGTACCCTTTGTTCTCAGCCACCTGAAGGACATTTAAGATGGTTACTACTTCCCAGCTTATGGAAAAAACAACCACCTTTGGTGCAGCCATCTTTCTTTTCAGTATGAGTACTGGGGAAACATTTCCACTGTTCAAGACAGCAATAGCACCCACCTTTGATAGCTTTGCCAAAATTACTCTTATACCAGGCTTCAATGATTTGGCAATAGAAGGGACGGGGTAGCTCTCAAGAACAGCCATGAAAATGGAAAGGAATTGGTAGTACACAGCTAATGATATACTCATGTTCAACTCAAAGTCCGTGGTCAAAGTCTACCTGATTTGAAGAGGAGGAGGCATCCTAACATTGACAATCTGTCTGCATTCCCTCAGGAGCTGTATTATCATGAGGAGGAGAAAGCATCCTTCACCACTAGCAACCAAAGGTTAGTTTTATTGCCTTGTTCCAAAGACTTGCCACAAACCATGGTTGGGTGAATTTCTAATTTGCTGCATTTTCACTGGCCTTTAGAACACATGACATCACATACATGGGTTCCAGAATATTTCTATTAATCTACACATTCTTCACCCGCAAGTCATAATTTTGACTTTCTTATGCATTTGTGAATTAGGTTCAGTGTGTGTTAAAAAAAATAAAATGATTGCATATAAAGAGCATGTCCACTGAGAATTCAAATGCATCAAACAGAAATTCACAAATGAGTTTTGAGGCAAACCCCAGTGCTCCTTTCAGCATTATAAACATCTTTAAGACTAAACTGTAGCAACTGTAAGGAAGAAAGATGTAAACTTCAATAAACTCAAATGCAATGTTTACACCACGGAGGACACAAACCAATGAGTTTCAAATATTAGACAGCATGTTGTAAATATATATTTTAAACTTACCTGCCTCAGTAATAGCCAAGGATAGATTAAGGCCGAATTCTTGGCTCCTGGGATTTGGAACCAGTGGTCTGAACATTGCAGTGGAAAATTAAAAAAGGGGAGTGATCAAACGATTAAACACAAAAATTAGGAACTTGAGGTCTATGTTCAAAGTTCAGCCAAGTAAAAATGGATGCAAATCCCACTGAAGTAACTGGTTTCAAGGACAGTGACATGCACTTATGTCAGGAAAGAAGATGGCCCAACACCCACTAGCTAATGCACTGATACTGTGGCACTGGACAACTCACTGAAACCCTCTTATAGTTTTCCTACGATAAGACGGACAGTCCTATCAGTCTATGAAAGGCATTGGAAGGATTGCTTCATAAAAATTCCTGTAGAATACAGTAGGCCTTAAGTTATTTAATGGGAGTATAGTGTTACTTGTGTTTGCTTGACTATAGTTGACTATAGTTTGGCTAAGAAGAGAGCAGGCAAAAAAAATTTTCAGGTGAGATAACAATGTAAGGCACAAATCATTTTAGAAAACTTAAGAATACAATGTATGGAACAAAACTGGGGTAAAATTTGCAATGTGCCTCAAGTAACTTTAGTGGTTTGATGATTGACAAAGCAATTTTAGACAAAATAAAGCTTACACAAGAAATAAGAAGAGGTGCTCCTCTAATGTTCATATACTAATTAGGAATGCTTTCATATTTTTACCTTATTTAATAAGGCTTTTTATATTTTAGCTAAGTGATAGAATATGAAAACCAGGTCCACTTTGGGCTTTCAGTCTTGAACTATGGTTCTTATCAAATTACCCACTTGCAAGTATACCTGGTTAGTGCTATTAGCAATTTATTTTTTTAAAAACTTTTCCTAATGGGCTGGCCACCTGTTAGGGACTTTTTAAGATTTGTAAGACAGAAATTGTAAGATTAAAGTAATTTCAAATATTGATAAGAATATTATGCTTTGAGATAAATGTGCAGTTTAGAATTTTTAATCATTTGCTTGATATGTCTTATCCATACTGTTTAGTCATTTATATATCATATTTCTATATTTCTTCATTGAATTTGTTTATTAAAGTTTTAGGTTTTTATGCTGTAGATCAACACTCTGTAAATGATCATTTAAAAACCCCCAAACCAAAACAAAGCCCACAACCTATGTTGAAAGTACACTAGACTATGATATCAAGCTCTCAAAAGTAAGGAAATGCCAGAATTAAGGCAGTTTTTAGATACATGATCACATCCATTCTAAAACTGAAAGCTTTCTGCTTTGATTACACAGTTCTTACATGTACCTAGTTAAGTCATTTAAACCAAACCTTTCACACGTGACTCGTCATGTAACCCTCATTTTCTGAGTTCCCGATTTGAGACTCCAGGATCTGATTTTCAGCTATACAATGCTACAACATTCAAAAAAATAAGTCCAGTTTCAAGTCATCTAAAATTTGTCCCCAAATATTTCAGTACTTCAGTTTTTCATTTGTAAACACACAGGCTCCTTGCAGACATTAACCCCCCCCTTCCCCTCCCCCCAAACCATGCTTTATCAGAAGCAGCAGCACGTTACTTCGACCCAGCGATGCGGCATTTATATAGATCAGGGTGCTTCAGCAGAGCTTTTTGGTGCTTTTATCTAAAGCTGATTCAACTAGCTATTAGATAAAAGCCCCACTAAAGTGCCCAATCTATACAGACATTGGACAAGTCAGCTCCAACTCCCGCACTGCCTCTTCTGGGCACATGCTGGGCTTGGTGCAGGAATGTGAGGAGTTTAAAAGTAAAATGTCATTTTTTGTTTTGTTTTTTATGTCTGCAGGCAGCCACAGATTACAGTACTCCTTCATTAGAATATACTTTGAAAAAAAATTCTTTAAATGTCATTAAACAATCAAATATTAAAAAGAGGAGTGCCAGAGGAAAGCATTTGAGGACGCTGGTGAAATTCTTCAGAGCAGCCTCTAAATAGCGAGGAGCAAGATGTGTGGTGCGCAACAAACAAGGAGAAAATGAAACGTTGAACAGCTATTCATTAAACTAACACTGATATTCTTTTCACTAGATGATGTATGGGCCCTGTGGAACAGTGAGAATGCAATCATGTAAAGACATACACAACTGGGGCGAATGGAAGTTTCAAAGATAATCATAACTCTGGCATTTCCTCACTTTACAGCAGGTGGTTTTACAGCCTTAATGTTCTTTTAGCATAGCTTTATGTATATAACTTCCTAGTTCATTTTAAAAATCAAAATGAGTCACTAATTAACTCACATATTCCAGCTGCTAGGTTAAAAGTATTAGACTGACCTCACAGACTGTTGCCCATTGTGCTAATAGACTCCCACCTGCAGCACACTGTCATCATCTAAGTGTATCAATGCTAGGGGAGGATGCAAGTTGCCCATCAGTGGGTTTCACTGATATTTGCTGACAGAGAAGTGCGAGAGGCTCTAGATTGAAGGTTTCAAGAGGCAACCCTAATTCTAGCATTTCCTCACTTTGGAGTGGCTGACTTCACAGACATACAAAGCTGTGCTAAGGCACCATTATAAGTGAATTCCTAGTGTATAAGAAAGCATCCTCTAAAGGGCACTGACTCTTGCTCATGCCGACTTCTGATCTTCCCCCTCCAACCTGTCCCTATCTCAATCCTGTCCTTCCACACCAATCACAGTCTCCCAGTAGCTTTGTTCTTGCAATGAAGTAAAAACCTAATAATCTGTGGAGTGTCAAAACTTCAAAAAAGATAAAGCACCACCCCAGCTATAAAAAAAAAGTTACATCAAGATGCATCTTGAGAAAAGGAGAATTAGAAGAAAAGGCCTGTTTGAAAAAAATGAGGAAGAATGAATACAAAAGAAGAGCTACTTAGCCCTGTTCCAGTCCTACTGCCACCAGTTGACAAATGGGATATTTGAAAGTAGTCTGCATAATAAATTATTAGAAGTGCACCAATAAAGATACCAATGGCTGATTATTAACCAACCATATAGGCTGATACTGATCTGATTGCCAATATACAGCCCAGCAGCTTGGAGAGCAGTGTCCAGCTGGTAAATCTGTGGGATTAATATATGTGATGCTGCTGCATTTTAATTAGAGCAGCTCTCTGGGAACAAAAAACAGAATCCGTGAGAATAATTAAACCTGAAAAATATTTTTTGAGGCATACTTTTGTGCATGTTCCCAACAATTTGCCATTTAAAAGTCAACATTTTTCCTTATCAATTAGTGATAACTGAGTCATTGCATCCATTTCTTACTTAAAGATATGGAAATACCGTTTCACATATTTCTTTTCAGATAGTGATAAGTAAATACTAAATTTTTAACTGACTTAAAAATACCAGCTATCTAGCAAGAATATATTTATCTCTGCTTTGTTCTCCATGTTTAAATGTTTACTATAGAAGAAGCTTTTTGTCAGCATTGCTAACATGAAATAACTTATTATATTTAGTTTGGAATAAAGAGGAAGAAAATGTTAACAGAGAATGCCTCTGAACTCAAGCCTAAGAAATAGCCATTTTCCTCCCTGTACAATGTTTTATTTCCTATAAAATTTACAGCAGGCAAATTTATGTAAACAATAAAACAAGTTACTTATTCAGGTCCTTTCTCCCATAAAACAGTAGGATTTGGTCCATCAGCAGATAGTTATTTAAAAAGTTCACAATGAGGTTTGGTATACTCCAAAAGTTAAAATTCATTTTTAATTTTCTAACCCTTTAGAAAACATCTCCAAAAAACAGGTAAGCCACACTGATTTGCAATACTTACTTGTTAATGGGCAACAACTCATTTGGTCTTTTGATGGTACTGTCTGTTTTTGTATCACTGTCATACAACCTTTGCACATCTCTTCCAGTTCGCAGTGGTGGGCCTAACTTGTCCATCTTACTATCAAAATATATAAAGGTGTACCCATAAGGAGTTGGCTAGTTTGCCATTTAAAATATTGCAAGTATTTCAAAGAAACAGTCACAATTAAACATTTGTCTTGCTCAACAGAATTGCAATTCTTATTCAAATGTAAGTAATTGTATTGGCTATAGCTAGAGACCTCAAACTTTCAAGGAACAAATGAGCTCAGGACATCATTCTCTGGTTTTTCACAAGTATCAAACACTACAGTCTCTATTACAGTTGTGCAGAGACTACATCAATGTTAGCTCATCCTAACTTAGGCTATTTTAACATTATATAAATCTATGAAGCTCAGTTTATTATGAATACAGTAATATTTTTTTTTCTGAAACAATTAACCACAAGTGGGCTTATGGGCAGAATTCAAACAAAGTTAACTAAGAAAGTGATACTGAAAGTAGATGAAACAGTAAATAATATTTTTCAGATAATGGTGGACTGAAGGATAAGGGAGAAGTGTTGTTTTCCATTTCCCTTCTAAAAATATAAGAGCACAATTCTTTTTTCCATTTTCCTCCCTCTCATAGGGCTGAGTAAATCTGAGTGAGGCCTCCTGCTTTCCCAACCAAAACTTTGGAGACTGGAATATTTAAGTAGAGAACATTACTAAAAAACAGTCATTACTTATTTCTTTTTAGCTACATATTAATTTCCAGAAGCTTAGCAGAATGTTAATAGATTGTGTTACAAAACCCATACTTAAAAAAAATTGCAACTTAACATGTAACAGACCAGAAAAAGGCTCCCTTGACATCTCAGGAGTATGTTTTAGGAAAAAAAAAAAAGATTCTGTCATCTTTCACAGATTAATCTGCTTTCTACTAGTTATTCTAAAAATTAGCTAGAACAGTTGCAGCCAAATCTAAAGACATAATTCTAGTGAAAAAACAAGTTTATCTGACTGAAATTAAAGAGGAAAAAAGATGAGGAGAGGCGAGGGGAGGAAGTATCTATATAGCATATATCAGCTTCTGTTATTAAAAATTACACAGGCATTTTTTTACTTTAAGGGACACATTTCAAATACCTGTGTAACTAATAACAAGTGTTGATTATTACATATATATTTAATAAATGATAATAATACTAACGATAGTGATACTTGCAAAGTTACACAGGCATTTGAAACGTGCCCTTTAAAATTAAAATACCTGTATAATTTTAACAACAGAAGCTGGCATATGCTTTTCTCCAGTGCCCCAAAAGAATGTTAACAGAAAGCCTGAGAATAAAGCAGCAGAATTTTTTTTTTAAACTTCTTTAGAGAAAAGGGGAATTGATTCGTTAAAAAAACCGAAACAACCTACAGAATTTTCTACATTCCTGACACAGGCCATTAACTAACACCATTCATGGCATATCAATGTAATCACAGCAATAACTTCATAAACTCTCAATTCCTCAAAACACCAAGTTTTTTTTTGGCTTTCAATAACTGGTTATTTATCTTGTAAACCTCTCTAACAAATATTATTTTGATTGCCTCTATAACATCTTCATTTTTAAGGCACTAAAGCCCACAGTTTGCAAAATGCTTTAGAAACCTACTGTGTTTTTTTGTGAAGGCCCTTGTATGCATTCTTGCAATTTACGTTCTCTAGTGTCAGGGGACATTTCTGTATAATGAACAACGAAACTAACAATACTAAATGAAGTTGCAATTGCAATTCCTATAGTGTACAGCTAGAAGGAAACACTAATCTAACTAATCTCACTTCCTATGAAAAACACAAGCCAAAAGACATCCTCATGTTAATTCCCACTTTTCTAACAGAGATTTTCCAGTTCAAGCAGGAATTAAAAATTTAACTCTTTTTTGAACCAGCCTATTTCTTTGTTAGAATTATACAGACTAACCTCCTTGATTATTCACTAAGGGCACCTCCATACATGCAGATAAAGGCACGATGGATTCCATGTGCAGTCCCCACAATTGCGCCTCCTGACATGCCATATGTGCATGTGCATGGCAGGAGGCGTGATTGTGATATCATGCATTAGATCCCATCACACCCAACTGCCAGGGAGATCCCATCAGGGTTTCCCTGCACCAGCAAGAAGCAGCTGAAGGGCTCCCAGCCACACACACCCCTATAGCTGGGGGACACAGCTGCTACAGCCTCCCAGCTGGAGCCCCAAAGGTTCATGAAGTGCTACCGGAGGTGGGAGACCATAGCTGCTCTGATCTCCAAGCTGTGGGAGGCTCCACACACCCTCAGGGCTGGAAGACTAAAGCAGAACCCTACAGCTGCTAGGACCCAGAACTCCACAGCTGTGGACTCCAGGTCACAGCACTGGAGAGGCATCTGCTGGGATCCCCAAGGTCCGCAACTGTGGGAACTCTGGGCTCCAACAGCTGTGAGGCACTGCTGGAACCCAGAGTCTACTGCTGCTGGGGCTGAGTCTGCTCAATGCAGGACTCCCAGCCTCAGCTCTGCATGGTGCTGCCCTGAAGCTGGGAGCCCGGTCAGCTGATGAGGCTCCCAGTCATATGGGAAATTCTGCTACACATGAAAATTAAAGCTGGATAGCAGCCAGCTATAAAATCAGTACATATATTTGAGGTCTAACTGTATAGTTGGTTGGATCTTTTTATGGCATGATAGGTACTTTGCACCTGTAACTGGTCTCAATTATGCAATTAACCAGTTAATGGTGCAAAAACTGTATTGTGAACAGGGGGCCTAAATCACATATTCTAATCCTTTAATCATTCTCATGGTTCTTCTGTGACCTGCTCCCAATGTATGGCCAGTCTTTGTAGGTTGGTGAACAGGACAGAGTACCCAGCAGCAGTTGCACCTGTGCTTAAATATCTAGACAGAATATAATCTTTCCTACTTCTAACTTGATATTCCCCTGTTTAATAAAGGTGACTTTAAAAATCTAAGCTGACTGAACCCTTTAATTTCTGAGTAAGGGCCTGAGCTCCGCGTGGTCAAAGTTGTATTCATTGCATACAACTGTATAACGTCTCTCAAGTTTGCATGGAAGGAACTGAACTTTAAGGATGTATTTTTAAATGCTAAATATATTGTTGTGGGGAGTGAGAGGGAGAAGGGAAGCCAAAGGAATCTCTCAAGATTACTTGTGAAGGCATTTCTGATACTGATTAAATGTTTTGTTCAGAATCAGTGCATTTTTGTCACAAGAGAGAGTCTGACCATGGAAAATATCAGACATTACCCCAAGAAAATATGCCTTTTACTACTAGCAGCAAAGAAATCAAATGATTTCTCAAACAAAATGGAAATTTTAAGTCTGCTAGTAAGCTTTTATTTTATCATCCTGAAAACCACAACTTTAACTACAAATCAAAAAATGTTGAACACTTTGGCCACATCCACATGAGCAGGAATGTGCATTTCCCCAGGAATATATTTGTGCCGTGGCTATTTGTCCCCAGGCATGCCCCTGCATGCAGTCTGATATGCAGCAAACTGCCCCAAGTGGAGTAGGGGGCTGGCCACAGCAGCCTTACCTGGGGTCTTGGTGGCAGTGATTTGGGCACATGGAGCCTGGCCGGCAGCTGAAACAGCTCTGGCTGGCCAAGCTCTGGTTTCTGGTGGTGCAGGCTGCAGCCACATATACCATTTCATGTTTTTCCCCATTTTTTTTTTTTTTTTTTTTTTTAAGATACAGGGATTTCTGGGTATTTAATTTTGCTGCTGCACTGCAAATTTGTAAAACAGAAAAAGGACCCAATGGGGGCTTTGC